TAAATAATGCATCACCAATAAAAGTATACATATAAATACATGTAAGCATCATTATTATTATTTTATAGTTGTCACCCAAAGGTGTACTAGTATAGTTATACATTGTATTTATATTTTAAGTTATATATACGTGTTGTTAACTCAAAGCATTATTGTTGTGCGTATTTTATCTTATTATATTTGTTTTATTATATCCCTTAATTCGCATGTTACATTTGTTATGATTCTCAATCGGACTAACTTTTCATAATGGAATGAGTAAGTTAAGTTCAAAATTTGGATGTGCTAAATCTTGATTTAGCATTTTAAATTGACAAACCTACTGTTATACTGATAAAGACAGTGACAAAGAAAATATTCTCCATAAAGTTTAGCAGAGATCGAACAGATTAAGCATTATGATTATGTAAATAATTATTCCAATAGTGATAGTGCTAAGAAATATTTGACTAGAAGAATATTTTCGTATTATACATAAATATCTAAAACGAAAAATTATTGATTGATATCATTACTATGCATTTTTTGTTAGTACTCGTTCCATGTATGAACATGTTTTTTAGATGACTAATGCTGTTGCATAATTAAGAACCTTATGGATGATTGTGGATAAGAATTTTCTTATTCAATTTATTCTCAATTTTTTATCTACTCAGTATGAGTCATTTCGAATTAACACTATTAAGATAAGTGGAAAGTGAATTAATTAACCATTATGTTAATTTAGGAAGAGACAAGGCTTAAGTAGTAAGGTAATCATTATATTCATCTGATGACTCAAAAAGTTAGAAAGAAATTTGGGAATAAGCCTGAAAAGACATTAAGTGAGTAACACCCAAAATTAAAAGATTTATGTCAATCTATTAAAAAAAGATAATGTAATAATGTAAAAGTGTCATTTATGTATCGAACATTTTTAGAAAGATTACATGAAACATAAAGAATGATTCGAAAAATAATAGTAAGCCTTTGACTTTTGTATATTTTAAATTACTTATTGAAATTATTTCTAGCACATGATAGGTTGACTTAAGTACTAATGTTTATATATTTAATAGATGCAATGATTACTTATGGCCTAAAATACAAATTCAAATGAGAATATCTTATTTATTAGAATTGGGAAAAAAAATTTATTGAAATCATTGAGACATTTTGTTTAGTCTTATACAATGGATTTTATTTAAATTATTTAAAACTCTTTATATTTTTTCAATTTCCCATAATTTGATTTTATTTTAAAACTTTATATTGATGTTTTTTTCTTTAAATTTGATAATGATTTTTATTCAAGAAATTCTAAATTATGAGTTATGGTATTCTTGTTGATGATTCCTGTAAATTCAAAATCGATAGTTTATTTATTAAAACACTTATGAGCTTACATCATAGTGTTAGAATTGAGCGTAACTTAATTAATGAAAATTCATTTATATTGTGGCAAAAAAGACTAGGACAATATTCAGTGAAAAGTTAGAAATATTAGTAAAGGATGTGATTCTTCTGAATCTAAACTTTACTGATTTTGGGGTGTGTGTGGATCGTATTAAGGATAAATAAACCAAACACACAAAGAAATGAGCAACAAGAAATACATAGCTTTTTAAAATTATTCGTACAGACATTTGTAGACCTTTTGATATTTCATCTTTTGGTGGAGAAAAATATTTTATCGCCTTTATAGTTGATTTTTTACATTACGAATATATCTATTTGTTGCACGAAAAATTTCAAGCAGTGGGTACTTTTGAAGTATATATAAATGAGGTTAAAAAATAACTACATAGAAAAGTAAAAATCATAAGGTCATATAGAGGTGGTGAATATTATGGAAAGTATGATGAAACGGGGTTAAAACTCTAACCGTTTGCTAAACCCCTTGAAATGTATGACATTTGTGCTTAATACACTATGCTATACATGCCACAGCAGAAACGTGTAGCTGAAAGGCGTAATCGTACTCTTTATGGATATGGTTATGAGTATGTTAAGTAATTACTCGTTACCCATAATGTTATGGATGTTAAGTAATTTAAAGAGTACAAGTTTTACTATCCTAAATATAGTACGATAATTATTGAAACCGGTAATATCAAATTCATTGAGAATGGTAAAATCAGTGGAAGTGATAAAAATAAGAATATGATCATTTCAGAAGTTAGGATACAAATCTCTTTACCTATAACTTCTAAAGAAATAATTGTTCTTTCAATTATTGAACTGTATAAGAACGAAAAACAATTGAATGATCAACAACTCCATGATGAGATTGTCACCAATGAATAGATTGTAGAAGAATCATAAGGAATAATATCAAGACGATCTCTAAAAAAGAAAAAAAAGATTTGTTATTCATGATGACTATGTAGTATATTTGTAAGAATTTGATTTTGATATTGAGATATATAAGTATTCGGTTTTATATTCAAAAGTCATTAACAGTAATAATTTTACTAAATGGATTAGTATCATGAATGAAGATATTATAAAGAAATCTTCTTTCCTGTATCTAAGAAAGACTTTTTTAGAATTATTATGGCATTAGTAGCTTATTATGATTTAGAGTTACATCAAATGAATGAGAAAACAACTTTTCTGAATGGGAGTTTAGAAATAAGAAGTATATGTGGATCAAACTGAAGGCTTCACATTAAATGGTAAAGAATATATGGTCTGTAAACTTAAGATTTCAATATATGAACTTAATCAAGTTTTCCAACAATGATATATTAAGTTCAATGATACCATTATTTCTTTTGGTTTTAAGGAAAACACTGTTAATCGGTGTATATACCAAAAGGTTAGTGGGAGTAAGTTTATATTTTTGTTTCTATATATTGATGATATTTTATTTGTTAGTAGTGGTATTAGTTTATTATATGAAACGAAAGGTTATCTCTAAGATTATATGCTCATACTTACATTTTTATGAATATGTGGATAATAATTAATTCACAATTGGTTATTTATTTCTTTTGACCGGAGGAACAATATTATGAAAAAGTGCAAAGTAATTTATTATTACTTTATCTATTATAAATTTTTTTATTTGACACCTGCTTTGAGGATACAATTTATGGTTGCATAATTTATTTCAGAAGTTGGAGTTATGGGTACCATTTCAGATTGCTGAAAATTTATGTTTCAATTGTTGATCTTCTTATACGAAAAATGATATGTATTCTAAAGTTGAAATATTTTATCATTAAAGAAGATGTTTAGAAACAATGAGTATTTATTGAATATATAAGTACACAACTTATGATTGCAATCCATTAACGAATAGACTACCAGCTAAGACATTTATGGAACATATTGAAAGAATGGATATTGAATGTAGTCAATGATGATTATTTTTAATTGTAGATTGCTTAACAGTGCTTATATATATTTGATATTTTGCGCTCATTAAATGTGTTTATAATATTTCTTATTAATTAATGTACATGTACGTATTACTTTAATAAGTGGTAATATGAATAGTCTTAGAAAAGACATTATTATTAGATCATTATTGATACTTCTCATTTATAGACTATGTTAAATAGGTTACTAGTGTTGTGGTACATGGAAGGGAATGTATCATTTAGTGATATATAACTGCCATGACTCGCATTGGTAATTTATTTACCATAGTATTATGATGACCAATTTAATTACCCAATCTGATTTTATGGTGCACACTAATGACTATTTTACTAAATAAAAGTTATCATATGGTCCAAGTGGGAGAATGTAAGATTATTTATTAATTGTGTGGCCTACATGATTTGGACATGTGATATATTTAATTAATTAATAGTTAAGTAAATAGATATCAGATTAATATTATATTATTTGGTCAACTTATAAATTACCTTTTTGATAATTAATTATTTTAGAAATGTTTTCCTATTTATTCCTTACTTTGATGGAAAGTGGAATTAATGTTACTGAAAGGAAAACGGATCATCTCTCTGCCTTTATAAAAATGCATATATTCCATCAATTATATATGCTAATGAAACAACACGTATAAAATTTTATGTGTGCAAAAGGTCAGGAGAGAGAAATCAGTTTTCACACTTTGCCTATTATTTGGAGTTGCACCTTAGTTCGTTGTTAAATGATCTTGACGTTGGACTTGATCTTGACGTTGGATTGATCTCATGTATCGAGGTATTTATATTTAACTACTTTATTTATGCATTATAGTAATGTGAAAATAATAAAGTTCTAAGATCTTAAGATTCATATTTATTTGTGATTAATGCTTGACACGAATTATTAAAGTTTACAAGTACCTCTACCAACTGGGTTATTTAACTCACCCCACCTTCACTTGAACTTTCGAAAAACAAAGAAAAAGAATGCAAAATTTCACCATTTATTATCTACCTTAAATTTACCATTTGTTCCTTATAAAATGATCAGTACTTTATTATTTGATATTATGATTTTAATTTTAAAAATAGAGTTACAAGTTAAAGAGGTTGAAAAATAACTCAAAATCATCAACTAATAAGTTTTGTCATAAAAAAAATTGAAACAACCTCTTTGCAAGTCAAAGGGTATCATAATCATTTTGCATTTTAAAGGTACTCTGACAACTGAAGACATTTGAAGTATGAGCGAAATATAGATCAGAACTTCAAAATGTGAGAAAAAATAATTTTTATATTAAGTAGTTACTGAATTACTAGATTTATTGTTTTTAATTGGTCATTTATGTAATAAATAAGAGAGTGAATCCTTCACTTACTTGTATTTTGCATAAATAATTAATAAAAAATATTTAATACAAGTTAAAATCAAAATGTTCTTAAAATTTAACCTTAACTTAGAATGTCAGTGTAATTTGTTCTTATTATTAAGAGGGATCCTTAGACACAGTATTTTTCCTGACTGACTCAATTTAGTCCCTTTTTTTTTCCCACAACAAGTGGATAATTCAACTCTCACGTGAGAGAATATATATTTTTATGATATTATATAAATCGTGCCATTTTAGTGTTAGTACCACATTCCTACTATTGAGTGTGTGTCGCGTATATCTAACACGCACACACTTTCTCTCTCTTCTTCAGTTTCAATTAATGGGAACAAGACTGTTCTATGCTTTAGCGATCTCCTTATTGGTTGTCTTCAACATTCCTGACATTCAGTGCAAGATTCCGACGACTCTGGACGGTCCGTTCAAGCCTGTTACCGTCCCTTTTGATCGGACCTTGCGCGGTAATGCCGTCGATTTGCCGGACACCGATCCCAGGGTTCGCAGGCGCGTCAAAGGATTTGAGCCCGAGCAGATTTCTGTTTCTCTCTCTGCGACCTATGATTCGGTTTGGATTACTTGGATTACCGGTTAATTTCATTTGCCTTTTCCTCATTCGCGTTCAATTTGACTGTGTCACTCGATAATTTTACTTCTCTTCCAATTCATTGAATTTTAAAAAAAATATATATTTCCTTTTTTTTTGTTAAAGAACTGTACTTGATAAAGTGAATATTAATTGGAGAATTAGTACAATGTTATACATGTTGATATATTGCTTTGAGATATAACTGTTCCAATTGTTCTGTTTGTTCATCCTAAAATTCTGTTTCATTCCAAGGGAAGTTCATCAAAATTTAAATATATATTGTGTGTCAGTGTGTGTATTTTAGGTTTTGGTATATCGTCCATGCTGCTTGTGAATTAGGGTGTAGTATGTGTAGTGGATATAAGTAGCATATAAGTAGCCATTCTGGTTTGAGGTAAAAGTTGGTGCTAAATGTCATAATTTTATTGTTTGTAGTTTTTATGTGGCTGCCATAGGAATTTTAAATTGTTTATTGCCTATAATGTTTTTATAGGCAATATACAATTTAGCCATTTGAGTGAGGACATGGCTTTAAATAGAGTGGAATAAAAAACACAGGATTCATGTAGCAGACTCCAATTAGTTGGGAAAAAGGCTTGGTTGTTGATGTTAAATTGCCTATAATGTTTATGAACTCGCACAGGAATCCCAAATTGGTTGCAACGTTAACTTGTTAGATCCTGAAACTTCTTGTTGTATTGCCTACAATGTTTTTATTTTAAATCTTAGATATGTTTATGAATTTGCAGGGGAATCCCAAATTGGTTACAACGTTAATCCGTTAGATCCTGAAACAGTCTCTAGTAATGTTCGTTATGGGATGTTAAGACGTCCCTTGACTCATCAAGCCCGGGGCTACTCTCTTGTCTACAACCAGTCATATCCTTTTGCAGGCCTTCAGAACTATACTTCTGGGATCATCCATCATGCTCGTCTTACAGGTGTGATCTACTTTCTTTCCCTTATATTATTTTGTAGGTTTGTAGTTTTTGTGTATAAGAATTTCATTATGTGAATGAGTATATAATTTGACTGCAAGATTGGAAATAGACTCACTCTGTAATGAGAACCAGATAATGAAAAAAGCAAGATATTTTCTTTACCCAATGTCAAATAATAGTCTTGCACTTTAAGGGTAGTCTAATTGGTGGAAAGTTTACTGGTTGGTCTGTTTTGCACTGTACTTCATAATTCCTATTGTACTTTGGCTATGATAAACTTATGCTGGTCCGAATGTTAGCACCTAAGTAATAAAATAAATGTTGGTTGCCAATGTTACAGTTAATGCTTTTAAATTGCAAAGATATTTTCTGGAAGGATTGAAGTCTTTGGTTATAAAACATGGTTATTGATTAACTCTGACGTTATGAGAAACCATGTCATTGTTGCCTTAAATAAGTGAAATTAAAAGAGACATCCAATCACCTATAGCACTGTTGCCCTTGAAACGATAAATGTTTGTCATAATTATATGTTCACAATCTAAGTTCTTAAAACCATCAGTGTTATCTTTTGGGAGCTCTTTTCTTGACTTCAAACTTTTCTGTGCATCCATTGCACATATTAAAAAGTTTTACAAAATCAATAGCTCATTTATCCACTAACTACTCTGTTCAGCAATACGTTTTCTTTACAAATTCTAATTTGTAGTTCATATTTCATTTGTTTTTAGAGGATAAAGACGGATGCAAATGGAAGCAATACCAATAAATACACAAGTTTTACTTCAACTGTAGGGAAGGTTGTGATGACCTTGTGGACGGGTGTGCCGTGGGCGGGTGCGAGAGACACTGTTAGGTTACCACACTAGCGAGTTATGGGTGCACAGTCCCACATCGCCTGGGTAGAGGAAAGGTGAAGTGCTTATATGTAAGTGTGTCACCTCCAATTGGTATGAGGCCTTTTGGGGTGAAATCCAAGAGCAAAACCGTGCGGGTTCAGGCCCAAAGCGGACAATATCATATCATGTGGTGGAGTGGTCGTTACAAATGGTATCAGAGCCTGACCCAGCCAGAAGTGTGCCGACGAGGACGTCGGGCCTCCAATGGGGGTGGATTGTGATGACCTTGTGGACGGGTGTGCCGTGGGCGGGTGCGAGAGACACTGTTAGGCTACCACACTGGCGAGTTATGGGTGCACAGTCCTACATCGCCTGGGTAGAGGAAAGGTGAAGTGCTTATATGTAAGTGTGTCTCCTCCAATTGGTATGAGGCCTTTTGGGGTAAAGCCCAAGAGCAAAACCGTGCGGGTTCAGGTCCAAAGCGGACAATATCATACCATGTGGTGGAGTGGGTCGTTACAAAGGTGCTATTATATATATAATAAATATTGAAAATTTGATACAAATATTAAGATGTGAAAAGATACCTGGGTAGTATTTGGAGTTTCCTTATTTAAGTTTAATGCTTTCTAATGTACAAGTTCAAAATTTGGCTTATGATTATCGTTGTGATCAGAAAAACTTGATGTTTTGGTTATTCAAGACTGTTGATATAAGCATTTTACAATAAAAGGGCAAATACATAATTTCTTGCAAGACAGAAGTTTAGAGATTGAGTTGAAGTTCATTCTTATTTTTTTCCCCCTTACTCATTAGTTTTAAGGCAAAGATACCTGGGTAATAAATTTTTATTTATTCTAAATAGTTATATTGCTGGTGTACTTTTATGTGTTAATAGGAGTTTAGGCGTAGATTTGCTGGACATTTAAGTATAACAGCATTCCATGAGTGAAGTTTAGTTCATGTTGTTGGATCTTTATATGGAGTCTTTTAAAGGTCTTGAATGGTCGTAGTAGTCAAAATGTCAGAATTTTTATTTGGATTGTTTATCCTGTTAGAATTAGAAGAAGTACAACCTATATATATGTATGTAATCTATATATTTAACGAAATTGTTCTGTGAAAATGGTAGTTTTATTTGTATTGAAGTTGAACTTAGGGAGTGAATCATTGGGACTTCTGGGTGTGATTCATTGATTCTTCTTCTTCATCATCTTCTTCTTCTCTTCTTATTTTCTTTAATTACTATATGTTTACTGTACACAGCCAGATTAGCCCCTCTTTCAACACCAAACTTCTGCCCTATGTAGTGTAACCAACCCTAACCCTTTGTCTTCAAATAACACTCAGACACTACAGCTAGTTGTCACGCTGAATTTTCAGGTTTTAATTTTCTGAAATTCCAGCAATTGCCATATTCCAAAAGGAACCAATTCCACCATCGCTAACAATAATGCTTGGTATCTCTTTGCCACCAGTCTAAATCCTAATTTACAATCTTTCTTGATGTAAGTCTTCCATAAAATCAATACAAAGCACCATTTTGATTTTTCCAGTGCTCTTTTGAATCACTGTGGATCCTCCATATAGGTGCTTTTTAAATTTTTTTTGGGGATCCTTTCAGATCTAGTGCTTTTTAAATTATCAGATCCTCCATATAAGTGCTTTTTAATATGCATTTTTTTTTGGGAATCCTTTCAGATCTAGTGCTCTTTTTTTTGAATTTTCAATTCTAGTGCTTTTAAATTTTTTTTTGGGGATCCTTTTATATTTTCCATAATATAAGTTAAAAACATCAAGAGTGCAGGGGTAAAATTTAATTTTTTATTTTCTCAAAGAATAATAACCGAATTCCATAAATTTTTCTACGAGCTAGCTTGACAAGTGACTAGGTTCACTACCTATCTCGCCTTGCCTACCTATCAGTTTTAGGTAGCATCTCTTTACTAAAATGATACTACAAAAACAGGATGAATTAAAAAGTATTATGGTGCATTCTAAACTTTGCACTAACTATATTGTGTTCTATGTAGGGTTGAAACCTGGCACACTATATTATTATCGGTGCGGTGATCCTTCTATACCAGCAATGAGTGATACATTCTCTTTCAAGACAATGCCTGTTTCTGCTCCATGGAGCTACCCAAAAAGAATTGCAGTTGTGGGAGATCTGGGTCTTACATACAATACAACAACAACAATCAGTCACTTGATTAGTAATAATCCTGATCTTGTCTTATTGATTGGCGACGTCAGTTATGCGAACCTATACCTCACAAATGGAACTAGCTCTGACTGCTACTCTTGTTCATTTTCGGATACTCCCATACATGAGACCTATCAGCTTCGTTGGGATTATTGGGGAAGGTGAAAGTATTTCATGTACCTATTTATTTTTCCTGCTATCTTTTTGAAAGAAAAAAAAAATTTGAAGAAAAGAAAAAAGAATTTCCCTCCATTTATTGTGTACCTCTATGAATATGTTTGTTTATGTTGCTATCATGTGATGTTTATTACAGGTTTATGCAGAATTTAGTTTCAAAAGTTCCATTAATGGTGGTGGAAGGGAACCATGAGATAGAAGAACAGGTTGAAAACCAGACTTTTGTTGCTTACAGTTCTCGATTTGCTTTCCCATCTAAAGAAAGTGGATCTCCATCCACATTGTATTACTCCTTCAATGCGGGGGGAATACATTTTATAATGCTTGGGGCTTACATTGCCTATAATAAATCAGGTCTTACATATTTTGCCCTTCTTTTTATTTATTCTTCTCCACCTTGTGTTGGACAATGTTCTATTGACTCCTGAAGTGCAGGCTCCCCATATTATAGCTTGTTTACAGAGTAGCTATTTGAATGCCATCCAGAATTGGAGCAGTTTTTTTTTTTTTTTTTTTTTTTTTTTTTTTTTTTTTTTTTCACACAAAAACGGAGCAGTTCCATTGTTTTTGGCATTTGAAGGCATAGAATCATGTTTAAGAATTCAATCGCTTCAAAATGAAAGATATGCCCAAAAAAGTGAAGACATTTTTGCAATATTGCCATTAGTAGAATTGGATGTACAAATCCTCTTCTACTGGATGGTGTGCTGTTTGATGAATAAATTAGCACGTGACAGTGGAGAATAAAAATTTATTGATGCATCAAGTATAGTTCCTCATATTTTTACCCTGGGATGTGATTCAGCAGTTATGGACACAAGTCCAATCGATTTAGAATTATGTATCAGTTATTTATCAGAGTTGACTAAAATATAAAATGTAAATATAATTGGGGGCTAGAGGGTCGATAGTTAACTATTATCCAATATCAATTATATACTTATTTTCCAAAATAATTGCGAGATGCAGGGTTGATTGCTATTTGTTATTCAGTACCTCTTGCTTGTATGAAGTATACACTTTGTCCATTTGAGCTACCACAAAATTGAGCAGTTCTTTATCTATCGATTTCTTTTTTTAACAGCTGATCAATACAAGTGGCTGGAGAGAGACTTGGCTAATGTTGACAGATCCATAACTCCATGGCTGATAGCTGCTTGGCACCCTCCTTGGTACACTTCTTATGCTGCCCATTACAGAGAAGCAGAGTGTATGAAGGTGGCAATGGAAGAGTTGCTCTACTCTTATGGTGTTGACATAGTCTTCAATGGACATGTAAGTGTTGATATCCACCTGATGATGATGACTATCCGTCTTAAATTCTTTTTATGGTCGACGTACTTGTGACAGAGCTGCATGTGAAAAGTGGAATTGGATCAATTAATTTAGTGTGTGCAGTTCACATGTCAGTTACCATCTTTTACAAGCAGCTGATATAAAGTTCATTTGAATACAATGAAAACCAAGTAAAACATATTTCAATGCGTTACGAAAATCGTAATGATTTTAAGCAACCCTTTAGACTTTGTCTACATTCTTAAATGCCACCATTTTGTATATCTCCTTACATCTTTGTTATACACAGTATGTAATATTTATAATGAATAAAATAAAGAAAGGAAAAAGTAGTAGTGGTTATTACATATGCCAGCAGTACATTTCTGACTCATTTAAAGTTCTGTTTCTGTTTGTGCAACAATTATGATCAGGTTCATGCCTATGAGAGGTCAAATCGAGTTTACAACTACACGTTAGATTCATGTGGTCCTGTTTATATCACAGTAGGAGATGGGGGTAACCGAGAGAAGATGGCCGTTGAACATGCTGATGAACCTGGTAACTGTCCACAACCATCGACAACTCCAGATCCATACATGGGAGGCTTTTGTGTGTCGAACTTTACAACTGGCCCAGCAGCGGGTAAGTTCTGCTGGGACCGGCAACCTGATTACAGTGCCATCAGAGAAAGCAGCTTTGGCCATGGAATTTTAGAGGTACCTCTCTCTTTCTCTCTCTAATTCAGTTTAAACCACAAACTTCTCCAACAATTGAACTAGTATCTTAAATTGCAGGAAAATTGAACAACAAATAACAAGTTCGAATTTAAACTCATGAAAGCAGTTGAGTCTTGCTCTAGTTTGTCACTAGTAGTCTGACTCCCTTCTTGATCAAAGCTACACATTGGGTTGTAGTGGACAATATTAAGAATTTATGGGTTGACTTTTCTGTAACTTGTCCTTGAACCAGCCTTTTTAGATGCAATTTTATTTTATTTTAATTTTTTATTTGTTATTATTGTTTTAATAAAGGGCAAACCTAGTGCACGAGGCTTCCACTATTTACGCAGCCATACCTCTACGTGCAGAGAGACTGTTTCCTTGCTTTGAACCAGTGACCTCCACCAGGTCCCAGTGGAGCAACCTTACCATTGTGCCAAGGGCTTGCCTTTTTGTTTAAATGATTACACAAATTAGTATGGATAATAGACAAGTGTACGATAAATTTGGATGAATGAATTAGGATGGTCAATGGTGGGGAGATTTAAAGTAAGTAAACGATCAGTTGCCTTATCTTTTACATCTGCTCAAATTGAGAAAAGACATAATGTAAGATTAACGTATAAGATAAATGTGCATCATGTGACTCCCTCATAGCTAGACAAAGGGCAGTTGTACATAAAAGTTTTTATTCAAAATGTGAACTTTCAGTTACACGTATAAGCTGATGGTGAGTTGAGAAACTATGTGAAAAATGTAATGAGATTGGATAAGGTTTGAGCTTGACAAGAATTGTCTAGACGAATTTTTTGGTCCTTAGGTTCTTTAGTCCTGCAGTTGGGACATGACAAGATTTTTATGACTCATATTCTAAGATCGAGTGAAGCCAATTTATGATCAATCTGATTATGATTATGATTTATGGAATACAGGTGAAGAATGAGACTTGGGCCTTGTGGACATGGTATCGGAATCAGGACTCGCACAGTATTGCTGGGGATCAGATTTACATTGTCAGGCAACCAGATATATGCACTGTCCATCCAAAGGTAACTAAAAGCTGGTTTGCATCCAGGTGAACTCTAACCATAAACACGGTTTCAACGGAATAGCCATAAACTATCCAAGAGTCAAAATATAGCAAAGTAGAATAGGATTTGGCAGCATCTTGCCGCGATTTATGGGGCTTGCCTTAGCCCCTTGTAATGCCACAGATTTAATGATAAATTCTGCGAAGTTACTATGGCGCCCTTCCCTTGTGTAGCGTCAATCCACAGTGGAATGTAAACCATATATTTTTGCAGCAGTCATTACATTATTGTATTGTGAACCTTAATGTGAAAGTGCCATAGGGTGCTCTAGCATAACACACAGTTGAAGAAGAAATTACACATGCTCACACAATGCCATAGGGTGCTCTAGCATTCTGTTGTGTATTTGTATTTTTGGATGTGTGATAAAACTAAAAGAGAATGCTAAAGTTCTATTTATCAATTGGCTTTCTTGGATTGCTTCAATTTTACCAGAATACTTACTTCGGAAACTAACAAACTGTTTGATTCCAGAACCTTGAGGTTTTGGTTGGTTGGAGTTCACACACTCACTTTGTCTCGGACTTCAACCTTCAATCTCTCACTTTGAACCCATTTAGATTTTCAAATCTCTTTGTCAAGTATCATTTTACCATTTGATTTATGATTGTTCACAGTTGAAATCAAACTTTTTATTCACCTTCCCAATTTAGAGCTGAATTGTTGTTGAACATGATGAAGATATACATAACATCGATCAGAAGAAATCAAGAATCTCCATGACGAACCGATTACAGAGAGGGCAATTACTGCCCTCAACAAAAAGCTCCCTTGAGCACAGCCTGCAATATGTGTGGCCACAAGCCAGAGAAGATGCCCCTTTGTGCCTCACTCTGCACACACAGCAATTGCTGTACGCTTCGTCCTCGTCCTCTTCTTCCTCATCATCACCATCCATCATATATTTGGACCCATCCGACCCCATTTCTCCATCTGCATCCGCCAACAACGCCATCAGTGACATCCTCACTGGCTCTTCTTCTCCATCCTCCTCAGCCACCGCCTTCGTCTCTGTCTCTGCCTCTGCCTCTGCCTCCGCCGCCACTGCCCCTACCTCACGGCCCGCTCGCGCCATTTCTGCCTCTATTCGTCGGACCTGCTCAGCAACACCGCCTTGATGAATCATTGAAGGGGAGGCTGCCATGGAGGGAGTCCGGCTCAGGTTCCGGTGCAATGCTGGACCCGAATTTGATTCAGACTGACCCGGTTCCGGTGTCCGATCCTCCGGAGTTGCCTGCCGGACTGAATTTCGCCGGGAAATCATTGTTTTATTGTTTTTTTTGTTGACAATTGGAACGTCGGAGGTGGGAGTTCGAATGCTAGATACCCAGGCGGCGCCGGCGCGGCCGAGACGGATCTTGTCTCGGAAAAGCTTCCAACTTTTCTTGTTGTGTCTGAAACTGCCGTCGTCTCGGGTGAGGTGGAAGAGCGTACGGTTAGCCGGAGTTTGTACTGGCGGTCTGTGGTTCTCAAGGACAGCGGTTAGGGTTAGTCCGGCTAACGAATTAGGGTTGGGTGAGTCGACTTTTACGTCCAATAGCGAACGCAATCTGTGACTACCGCTCCTTTCCATTCAACATGACTTGCAGTTCCCCAGAAAAGTTCGACTTTTTAGTTAACTCCGACAAAATCGAATACAAATGGGCACACAGTATGAGAAGAAAAATGTGGAAGTTTTTTTTTTTAGGTGGGGGAATCTATGGTTTCTCAGAAAATTCAGAATTGAATTTTGATGCTTTCAAAGGTTTTGATTTTTATGGAAATGAGGGGAAATAAAGGTGTACATTGCAAAAATTATGAGAAACAATGACGAGAAAGCAAGAGAGAGAAAACAGAGACGGTCTGAAAACGGACATTGGCAATTTCCTCTTTCTCTCTCTTCTCTTCTAATTCCATTTCTTTCTCAGAGTGAGAAAGAAAGAGAGAGAAAGAAAGAGAGAGTTGGTGGAGACGGAGGGTGGCTTTGTGGGGAATTTACAGTGGAACGAGTCTTACGGAATAGTTGTACCCTGATTATCCAAGTGTAAGGAATTTTAAGAATCTGAAACAAGGGAATTGCCCACCCCTCACTGGTCAATGTTAGATAATTAATATATATATATATATATAAAATAGTAGATAACAAAAATATATAACAATCATGTATAATATATTTTAATATAATAAATATATATGTATAATTTTAATCGGATCGTATTATTATTGGCTTTAAATTATTATCAAATTATTAAATTTTTTATTTCATTCATGTTGAGATAATCGAAAGCTCAGGTGAGTAATGCCTTTGTGAGTAATCAAGAGTCGGATTTCGTAACAAACTATGTGACTACAAGAAAAATGATTGATTGAAACTTTCACTGTGTTCATATCATAGTTTTTCTCTAATTCTAAATGTACTGAGTTTTAATTTATAGTTGCATTACTGCATGGTAAATTTGAGAACCATGAAGTCACACCAGTGCTAGAAAACCTAAAAAATATTGTAAGGATTAAGTTTGGAATTTGGATATTTTATTTTTTTTATTTAAATTGGAATGGATTATAAATTCATTTTGTATTGATTAATCCATGTTGAACCCAAATACATTTTGTCATCCTTAATAAATTGACATCCTTCTAGTAAAATAATAAGTTGCTGTCAAGTGTTGTCATATTCATGATCATTTTAATCAAATTTTCTTTTTAGGGTTCATAAATTACACAAATACTCTCACTATTGTCCCATTAGAGACTCAATCTCCAATTTTTTCATTTGAAAAGAATGAGATAAATACCATTTGGGTTAAAACTCTATGTGGGCATTTTCATAAGCCTTTTCCCATAGCTTAAACTATCACATCCATCATGAAAATTTATAGCATTTATCTTTTGCTATAATTAGGCAAGGGTACAATTTGAAATTGAATAGTGTTATATACATATTTGCCAATGAAAATATTTATTTGTATAAAATATTGTCAAAAGCAAAGCTGATAAAATTAGTACTAACTTCTTTAACGTCCTTAAACATATTGAGAACGTACATCAGGAAAGGTTGTAATTAAATGGTAGATTTTGAACTTTATAAAGTGGAAGTTCACATGTTTAAATCTTTATAGAAACAAATGATTGCGTGTGTTATTTGTCAAGAAAATTAAATAATAAAAAATATGATTGAGAACATGATAATAATTTAAAAAAAAAAAAAAAAATGTAACCTTTCTAGTCTAAAACTAATTCACATTAATGGAAATGAATTCACAACTAACCACTTGTTAAACTTAGCTTAATGTAAAATTTGTGAATTAGTTATTAAGATAAGTATTTACTATTTTCTAGTCATTACCTATTTAACACCTTTAACCTTAGAACTAGCATGCAATTAGGTTGCACAAAATGACAGGATATTGCTTTTCCAAATTAACTATATAGGGCCTATTCAGTGGCCTAGTTGCTAAGGCCCCCAACTCTCGAACAAGTATCCCCTTAATTTGTCACAAAAATAAAATAATATAAAATACTAGCTAACTATATATATACACATACATATAAAATTAAAGTCGAATATGACTTGCCAGCACTTTTAGGTGCTCCTTCTTTTGCTATAGTCCATTAATCTACATGGATTGAAATGCCTACATGGATTGACATGCCTAATTAAGCATGTTTTAAGGACGACTTCGTTTCTGAAGTTGGGACCTTTATGTTTTATAGCTATGTTTCAAAATAGAACAGTTTATACATTCAAACTTAATATAGGTAGACATCATACATGTACCCAAAAAAAAAAACAAAAGCATTAAAATCATGTTTTGGGACCAAATTAGTGCCTTAGAATTAAATTTATGTTATGTTTGACCGCATTGAATTGACATCTTGAATTTAAAATTGGAGAAAATTTAATACAGATTTTGAACTAAACTTTCTTCAATCTCACATCCAAGAAACCAATTCCGTACTCTCAAACATAACATTACAAAAAATGTAGTTGAAACTCCAAATGTCATGCGTTAATACAATAGTGCTCATAATGTTTGATCAACCTTAACACATTAGGTAAATCAACTTAGTTGCAAAATATCCCTAATGAAAACACCAAGATTGACTTCAGAAGATCCTCCTTTTGCAATTGCTTGTCGAGAAATTCCTTGAAGTTCTCTTACCCTTCTAATCATTTCCCTTCTCTCTGGACTTTCCAAATCCATGAACCTCCTCACAAGGTCAGCAATTTCCTCTCTCCCCACCAAATTTTCCATTCCCACCTCCCTCTTGAGGACCCTCCACCCAATCCTCCAATCTTCCACTATAGTCTTACTGATTGGGACTTGATCCATATGCATAGGGAAAGTGAGCATTGGCACGCCCGCGAAAACACTTTCCATAGTCGAATTCCATCCACAATGACTCCAAAATCCTCCTACTGAAGAATGGCACAGTACCTTCAATTGGTCACACCAGGGCACTACCATTCCCGAGTCTCCACAAGCCTCCTTTAGCCTCGAAGCTTCCCCACGCGCCACCCACAAAAACCTAACACCGATAGCGGACAACCCAGCTACAATTTCATCCATTTGAGCACTTGAAATAGAAAAGTAGCTCCCCATTGAAATGTACAGAACAGAGCCTTGAGGTTGAGAATCTAACCATTTGCGAGAGTTGGTGTCATTGTGGCTAGTCATATGATCAGGGGCATTTTCTTGATCTTCGAGGGTGAAGTGAGGTATAAGAGGGCCAAAAGAGTACATTGGAATTGGCAATTTTGGTCTTAAAGCATTGATGACTTGAGCTTCGAGCTCCAATATGGAAGAGAACAAGCAAAATTGTGCTTTTGAGACATCAGAAATCATTTTTATACCTTGGGACATGAAGTGTCGTTGGCTCTTGTAGAAGATTGTAGGAAGGTCTGCTAGACGGGTTGATGATATTCCAGGGATGTAATCCACCAACTCATCTCCTCTTTCTGTCACGTTTAGACATGCACACAACAAATTTTTATCAATATTTTTGCTTATTTTGAATAAAATGTTTTACAGCGTGACATATATTTACTTTAAAAGGCCATATTAAAATATCACTTCTATATTTTTGCTTTAGATTATATTCATCCTGCCCTCATTTTACCAAACAGATTTGTTAAAAAAAAAAAAAAATACTAATGCTTTGTTTGTTAGGAAGGACAAAAGAGGGGTAGAAGGAATATAGGAAGAAATAAATAAATTTTTTTCGTTTGGTAGAGACGCTATAAGAAAAGAAAGGATAAATTTTCATTTGTCCACATTTGGGCCGAAGAGAGGAGAGAAGACAAGAAGATTTAAATTACCGTATCATCTTTCATAAATATTTAATAAATCCCACAAATAAAATAAGTGATGGGTTTAATACTAAAAATAACTTCAAAATCTCGCTTTCCTTTTATCCTACCAATCAAATTAAATAGTCAATTTTTCTCTTCTCTTCCATCTAACCCAATAAAAACAGGGAATACATCTTTTCTTATTTAAGGATGTCTCATTCATCTTTTCTTCTCTGTCTTCCATTCAATTTTCTTTCTTAATACGGAAAAGAGGCATAAAACACGGCCACCACCGGCCAAAAAAAAAAAGGACAAAAAAAAAAATTTCTTGAAACACCCTCCAAAAATAATTATGTAATATGTTTGTTTGGATGTAGAATATATTATATATAAAAAAAACATTTCACATGTAAAACAAGTTTGTTTTTTTTTTTTTTTTTTAATTTTTTTTTCAGTGGGGAAAACAAAAGAAGCTGTGAATATACATACAATGATACAAAGCCATTTTGTAAATTTTTACTATATATCATGCTATGGAAATTATTACAACTTTGTAAACATTTTCATGTTCCTAACACTAATTTATAATATTATTCAGATTCACGTACCTGACAAATCAAAAGGATAATGCTGGTTCTCCACCAAGAGGTCAAAATGGTAAATGAAGGAAAACACGGCCACCGGCATAGGCCAAAGCGCAGCCACCGGAATATTCCTCCGATTCCCGACAATAATCGCCCACGAAACACAAACATCAGCCATGATGACCGTTGGCGGTGGCTCCAGCCGGTCCAGCAGCTTCTCAAACGGCTCCTCCATCTTGGTTAGAGTGGCTTCGACGAAGCCGAGCATGTCGGAGGCTCGGACCAGCTCGGAAGGCAAGACGTTTGGGATTGTGCCGAAGCGAAGGTTAGCCGGCTTGGACTCGGAGCCAATGAAGCCGAGCCACTCCTCCGTGACGACGAAGGTGATCAGAAGATCGTGGCTCCGGGAAGCTTGCAATTTGCAGAGGTTCATCATAGGGTTGATGTGTCCTCTTGCCGGATAGGGCAAGGCCACCACATGGCATCTACCGATTGGTTCCATGTTAGCATTCATATATATACATATATATTTATATATATATATATGAATCTGATCGTCTACTGAGACGGAGGAGTAGGAGGAGATCTAGTGAGAGAAAAGTCAGAAGAGAGAGAGACAGGAGCAATGATCTACAATTGTGTGTGTGCATTTATAGCATCTTCTGCATGTGCGTGTGTGAGTGACTCGTGCATGTGCCACAATTAATAATACTTTACTCACCAAACATGGCTTTTTACTATATATATATTTTTTCATAATTCTTTTTACTATATATATTATACTCTTCCAAAATTTTGTCTAACTAAACATTAAAGACGGGTCATAGTAAAAAAAAAAAAAACTTCCACTGTAATTCAGATATGAAAATCAGAATTTTAGTCAAAAGCTAATATATAGTTGAGCATAATTTAAAGGAGTTGTTCTTGTTTGAAGTAGCCAACAAGAGACCAAAAAAATCAGCCACCATATTTATTAAGGGTGGGTAAATAATATGTGAATTCACGAATTCGATTTGATTCGATCTAATTCGTACAGATTGGATCGAATTGTTACATTCACACATCCGTAATTCACGAATCGGATAACGGTTTGGATTATTAAAATTCGATCTGTAGGTTGATCCGCGAGATTTTTATATATATATATATATATATATTCAAAAAATATATTAGTTAATTTAATTAGTTAATGATTGTTTAATGGAATCTAAGAATTTATTAGTTAATTATCATTAAATATATGAATTAATGTTGATAAATTTAAATTTTATTGACTGGGTTATGGTTAAAAAATTAAATAATATTGGACAATTTAGAAAAAATTACAATACTTCACTTTACGGATCCGACCCGATTTGTCATTTTACGGATCTGATCCGTTCTCCCACAGATTGGTGACGGATTATGATTTTTTTAATTCATTGAAAGCAGATCGGATTAAAATTAATACTTAATCAGATCCGATCCGTGGTCACCCCTAATATTTACACACGATAAGAAGAAATTCATGTTCGAAATCAACCACAAAAAACAAAATAAGGCATATGATCTAAAATTCAAGAAATAAAGCTAAAGGTAATCATAATCCCATAAAGTAATCTAGGTTTTTTTTTTTTTTTTTTTTTGCTTGCGTGCTTGCTCTTATCGTCATCGTCTTTGTTTGGTTTAAGAATCTCCTTGAAAACCCGAGTCAACACGCGCATGTGTGTGTGTGTGTGTGTGTGGCAAAGTGAAAAAAAAACCTAATGTTTAGATTTTGGGTAAATAACACCCTATTGTAGTATTGTTTATGTTGTGCATACAACTTCGTTAAGCTAAAAAAATGAGTAAAGAAGGTTTTGAAGTCACTATTTCATAAAAAATTTAGCCATGTGTTTTAAAATATAAAATTCTAAAAATACTCACATATCTTTTGATAATGCTCTTATACACACACACACACTGATCCGACACTTTAATCATTTTATATTTAATTATTATTTTTTATCTATTTTTTTTTAATTCCAATTATAAAGGTATATTTTAGTTTTTTTAGCAATTAAATTCTATTTGCTCCAAAGCACCCCCTCCCCCCCCCCCCCCAAAAAAAACACACACACACACTCATTCAAACCCTAGTCTAGGGTATTTAACTTCATGGTAGTATATTAATTTTATATTTACTAGTTTAGTGAATTTAGTCCCCCAAATGAATAATTCTGGCTCCACCCCTCTGAGAGCTTTGAGTCCCACACTTTTGAATGAAATGGCTGACACTTTCTTCTGACTCCCAATTTGGCTAGTTTTGTGGGTTTACTCGGCACAACTCATCTTGCTATTGTCCATGCTAATTTTGGAGTGGAGTGGTAGAATTAAAAAATAAAAAATAACAAACGTTTTCATTTAGACGTAAAATATTTTTCAAAAAATATTTTTTTATTTTTTGGTGTTTGGTTATCGTAAAATATTTACTAAGAAAAAAATATTAAAATTTAACAAAAATAACTTATTCATTAATTTTCGACAAATTATTTTATATGCCTCATTCCATGGACTCGACCTCAATTTCGACGTAAATCTCAGACAAATATCAACAAAGTAAAAATAAAAGAATATTTTACCTGAAAAAGAAAAATATTTTTCAAAAATAATATTTTACGTCGAAACAAACGAAGCCTAAGTTTCGAAAATGAGAATGTTATGGTGAATGATTAAGATAAGAAGTGACGGAGAGAGCCACTAATAAGAATTTAAAAACCCTCCTATTGTGGGGATCTTGTTCCTTGGCCTTGTGTTCCATGTATATTGTACATTGCCCGTGCAACATATGCATAAAAAAAAGTTATTGCATAAGCAATGTAATGTAGTTCTTGTGTAAGTAGTAAAAAATTGTTATATAAGCGATGTAATAATACATAATGAAGTCACAGATGATGAAAAAAAAAAAAAAAAAAAAAAAAATTGAAGAAGAAGAAAGAAAGAAAGAAAGAAAGAAAGAAAGAAAGAATATCACTAATACTTTTGTAAGTGAAAAAGTATGGGTGACACCTGACAACAAAAAATAAGAGAGAGTATGCATAAATGGTTTGGACACATGCAAAGGAATCCTATAAACGTGCCAGTAAGAGAAAAATTAGTATTTAAAGAAAGTAAAAAGCAAAAATGGCAATTTAAAAGAACATGGAATGAAGTTATTAGAGATTTAAAAAAGTTCAAGATATTAGGTGAAATGGTAGATTCACAATTGTTCCACTGGATAGTGGAGACTTAATCTCCAATCTTGCATTTGAAAAGAATAAATGTCGTTATTTGTGAAAATTGAAAAAAAAAAATAACTCACAAAATTAGATTAATTTTTTTTTTTTTAATTTCAATTCTAAGACTCCAATCCTTACACCCAGATACGCCAAAAATTATTCAACGTGATCATTTTCGTAAACTTTTTCCATATCTAAACCATCACACACCAGCATGAAATTTTATAGTATTATTCTTTTGCTATAATTAGACAAAGGTACAATTTGAGATTGATGAGTGTTATATGCATATTTGGCAATGAAAATATCCATTTGTTAACAAATGATCCTCCTTCAATAAATACTCTATGAGTAGCATATTGATACCAACGAGTTAGTGACCTAGTGGTATGAGCCTTTTACTTTTTAAAGGAGGTCACATGTTCAAGTTTCGGTAAAGACGTGTGTGTGAGTACCAACTAAAAGAAGAAAAAAAAAAGAAAAAGAAGCACATTGGTGGCCACGTTCCCTCCGAACATCCAACCCTTCTGGTCACACCTTGCCAACAACCCATTAACCATTCCCAAACATCAATTCATTCTCTGGTTAGTAGTCCAAAAGCGACTTTCTACTATGGAACGAAGCAAATCTGCACACTTTGAGCCATGATCACCTGTTCTTCAAATGCCAATACTCAGCTCCGATTTGACGGTTTGTGCAAGAGAAGTGTCACTTTTATGGAACTCCTTGAACTGGAAAAACTTTGTCCGCTGGTTAGTGGTTGGTTGTTAAAGGAGAGGAGAATTATGCAAAGACTCAAGTACAGAAAGCAACTCAAACACTTAGACAACACGGCACTTACAATATTGTATTTCCTGATTAGCCATAAAGATACATTTTTTTTTCTATAAAGATAAGTTGTATTGAATTGATAGAAAAATGTACGCAGGCCAAACCCCAAAAAACAAATGAACAAAAACAGAGAGCCGAAAACACAGCCCAGAACAGAAGGAAAGCTAGAAGCCCAACCCATCCAAGACAGGTATAGTCTAGAAAGCCTAGACTAGTGTTGCCTCCATACATCCGGTATAAAGTTAGCACCTGTATGTTTCCAAAATAGTTTAGTTTATAAAATCAAACTTAATATAGGTAGAGATACAATCATACAAATGAAGGGGAAAAAAAACACTATGTTTGGGGTACCGAATTAACGTTTTAAAAATCAAAATAAAAATTAAAGAAAATTTAATTCAAATTTCAAATGACATGCATTAATACAGCAGTACCCATAATATTTGATCAAAACGCAACACAATACATAAATCAGTTTTATGTTCTTGTAAATTGTGAAATGTCTCTAATGAAAGCACCGAGGTTGACTTCAGAAGATCCTCCTTTGGCAATTGCCTGTCGAGAAATCCCTTGAAATTCTCTTACCCTTCTATTCATTTCCCTTCTCTCCGGGCTTTCCAAATCCATGAACCTTTTCACGAGGTCCGCAATTTCCTCTCTACGCACCAAATTTTCCATTCCCCCCTCCCTCTTCATGAACCTCCACCCAATCCTCCAATCTTCCACTATGATCTTACTGATTGGGACTTGATCCATATGCATAGGAAAAGTGAGCATTGGCACGCCCGCGAAAACACTTTCCATAGTCGAATTCCATCCACAATGACTCCAAAATCCTCCTACCGAAGAATGGCACAATACCTTCAATTGGTCGCACCAAGGCACTACCATTCCCGACTCTCCACAAGCCTCCTTTAGCCTTGAAGCTTCCCCACGCGCCACCCACAAGAACCGTACACCGCTAGCGCGCAATCCGAAAGCAATTTCATCCATTTGGGCACTTGAAACAGAAAGGTAGCTCCCCAATGAAATGTACAAAACAGAACCTTCGGGTTGAGAATCTAACCATTTGTAGTAGTAGGTCTCATTCTGGCTAGTCATATGAGCAGAGGCATTGTCTCCAAGTGTGAAGTGAGGTATCAGAGGGCCAAAAGAGTACATGGGCATTGGCAATTTTTCTCTTAAAGCATTGATTACTTGAGTTTCGAGCTCAAATATGGAGGTGAACAAGAAAAATTGTGCTTTAGACATAGGAGAAATCATTTTGATAGCTTTGTGCAATAGTTGTTGGTCTTTGTAAAAAATTGTAGGAAGGTCGGCTAAACGGATTGATGATACTCCGGGGATGTAATCAACCTGCTCATCTCCTCTTTCTGTCACAGACACACAATAATTTTGTATCAATCTTTTGCTCAATTTGAATTAAAGATTTTAAATCATAAAATATGACACATGAGAATGGTTGTGGCATTCAAGAAATCAATGATGTGAGAATGTTTTTGAAGAAAAATTACTTCATTTATGCATGGGTAGCTCAATATAATTTGAGGTTTTAGGCAAAAAAAAATAAAGTGACCTTTTAATTAAATCTACTCATATATTTATACCAGTAATATGTTAATTATTTGTTTAGTGATTTTTAAATCTATCATTAATTTTTTTCAAACTTTAGTTCCATTGTTAATTAATTAGCTATGTGCTTTCTAATAGTCACGTTTAACAATATAAATAAAAATTATAAACAAAAAATATATTTTTATAATAACAAAAATTAATAAAATTATAAACTAATTTAAGTTATAGAATAATAGAAACTGATTTCAAATAATTTGGTCTAATGCTCTAATAAATTCTTTAATAGAATATAAGTGTATTCAAAATCTTCTTATAGACTGAGATTGTAAATTGTAGCAGTGGAGAAGATGAAAAAAAAAAAAAAACTATAATGAGAGAAGAGAAAAATATATAAGAAGTAAGAAAAAAAGAGAAAATAAAAGTTAATAGGAATCTTAAAAAAATATAGAAAATTTCACTAATTTTCATTTAAATATATATATAATATTCAGTGTGTGTATATATGGTGATGTAATGAGGATGAGAGAGGGCAAAAAATTTAAAATAAAATAATAATAATAATAATAATAATAATAATACAAGGATATAAATATTTTGGGCACACTATTAAATTTTGTATTTGTTGAGGTTTAATAATATAAGAAAATAAAATATTTAGGTAAGTTATAATATATAAATAAAAAAAAAAATTAGGAGCCCTTAAAAAAAAGATAAAAAATATAAATCTTTTAGGTCAACTGTCAAATTTTTCTATGCGTTAAAATTTAATAAGTAAAGAAAATATTATAATTGTTTTAGAAAAGTTATAATATATAAATGAAATAAAAAATTATGGAGCCTTATTATTGGTTGGGGCTTTAGAAAACCACTTAACTCGCCTAAGGCTCCAGCCGCCCCTTCATTTCTGAGAAGCACTTAAAAACATTTCTTGACTGGCAAAAAAAATGATTCATTTTTTTTTTGGGAGGTGTTCGACAACGATTGCCTATTTATTCAACTAGCATAACTTATCTAGATGTCAACTAGTATAACCTATCTGGATGTGAGGAGTGACCAGGGTGGAGCCAGTAGAGGGCCATGGTCCACCACACTCCTCAATTTGTTTTTTAGTAGCTCTCAAAAATTGTTATCTTGTAGATAAACCTAATTTATGCCCTCAAAAATCATAAAAAATTTTAATTGGCCCCCCAAAAATATTTTCAAATTCAACTTGTATTCCCTCAAACTTCATAAAATATCAACTAAAATATTTTAGTCATAATTTTAAAAACTCAAATATTGTGAAATAAAAATGTAAGTTCATTATTATTGCAGTACCTATATACACAACAAATTATTTATAAAAAAAATATTTAGGATTATATATTAATCTCCATCAACAAATGTTGGAAGCATGAAAAGAAAGAAAAACTAAGGTATTATGGGAGCATGACGGGAAAGAAGGAAAATTAAATTTTTGAGAAATTGAATGAATTGGTAAGAGAAATCGTCGTGTATTTTTTTTTTTTTTTTTCGCTTTCTTATATTAGTTTTTCATCTTTGTTTTCGTGTTGTACTGTTCTTATTTTTGAATTATTTTTTAATATATATATCTATAAATATATACACACATAATAACCCAAAATATTATCCATACTCTTATCCCAAAATAATTATTTCAATTGAAAAGTCAATATATTTGGCAACCCAAAAAAAACTTTTTAAAAAAATAATAATTAAAAAAATAAAAAAAACTTTTAATCACAACTCTCTTATTATACTAACAAAAAAAACATATACGGAGTATATCTTTCTTTAATCCGGCCAGTTTCTAATATCATTAAGTTCACGCACCTGACACGTCAAAAGGATAATGCTGGTTTTGTACCAAGAGGTCAAAATGGTAAAAGATGGAAAACACCGCCACCGGCATGGGCCAAAGCGCCGCCACCGGAACATTCCTCCGAATTCCAACGTTAACCGCCCACGAAACAAAAGTATCCGCCACGATGAAGGTTGGTGGCGGCTCCAGCCTGTCCAGGAGCTGCTCGAACGGCTCCTCCATCTTGGTCAGAGTGGCTTCGATGAAGCTGGGCATGTCGGCGGCTCGGACCAGCTCGGAAGGCAAGACGTTCGGAATTGTGCGGAAGCGAATGTTAGTCGGCTTGGGCTCGGAGCTGATGAAACCGAGCCACTCCTCCGTGACGACGAAGCTGATCAGAAGATCGTCGCCGCTCCGAGAAGCTAGTAGTTTGCAGAGGTTCATCATAGGGTTGATGTGTCCTCTTCCTTGATAGGGCAAGGCCACCACGTGGCCTCTACCGATTGGTTCCATGTTGTCCTATAGGCCTATAATATATACATATATATATATATCTCTCTCTCTCTCTCTCTGATAGTCTACTGTAATAAAGTCTGTAATGAAAGACCGGAGTAGGAGGAGATATAGATAGAGATGAGAGAGAGGAGTGAGGACCACTGATTCTCTTGCGTGTACATAAAGAAGTTGGCAACATATTTATTGACCAAACTAAGTTGCTGCGCCACGTAATATGGGTTTTTACCAATTCTTTATATTATATTTCCTCGTTCCTCCTATATTAGTAGTCTATTTTTCTCTTTTTACATGTACCAAATTAGTTATTCTCTTTAAAAAGTCAAACCATCTTTTCATTATATTTTCATTACTGTCCTCTATCTCTTTAAGAAAAATTCAGACTTTATAACTATATATATTTAAATTAAAAAAAATAATTTGGTAATTTTAAAAAGGAACAATGTATTAATTGCATGTCCTCTTAAAAATTTCAATTTCTAAACATGAACTTCTATTATGGGACGGAGGGAGTATGAGTTTGGACTTTTATGCCAAATTAAATTCAATAGTATGAATATGTATCTTGATATATTCCATACTAATATTGCATCATAAGAATATCTCAAAATATTCTTAAATAATATAATGTGAATAGACTCATGAATTATATTTAATTTTTTAAAGTCAATTTTAAAAAATAAAAAATGATGTTCATTTTTTTTTTTTAGTACAAAATTACACTATTTTATCATGAATTATTTTTATTTACCTTCTCTGATCTTAATACTATTGTCACAACTTTATATAACTATATATATATTTATTTATTTATTTTAGAGCCTCTCCAACCGGTACTTCAAATTTCATACCTAAAAAAAAAATTTGAGATATGATGTGACAAATTAGTATTTGGTATTTTGGTATACTCCACCCTATATCTCAAATTTATTAATTTATTACTATTTATCATTTAATTAAATAACAATAATACATTATAAAATATCTTTTAATAGATAGTTTTATTCAATTACGATAATAAAACGGTTAATTTTATTGCAATTATAAAATATGAATACAATAGATATATAAACAATGACGAGTTTAATCCAACGGCTATAAAAAAAAATGGCATACCACTTTTTGATATGCCAAATTTAACATATTTGATGGTATGCCATTGTCAAATGCCAAGTAGACATTTGAGTCATTGGTTGGAGGAGTTCTTGACTTCTTGATGTCAAAAGTATCTATTACAAATACTACTTAAAATTTGACATACCAGTTGAAAATGCTCTCAAGAGTTTGACAGAAATGATAGTTATTTTTCATTTCTCATATTTTATTTTTCCTTGTATGAAACTACCATACCTGCTACTTTGTGGCTGCGAAAACTTAAATTTTTTACCATCTACCTTGTCTTTGGTAAGAAGGTGCATCTATACTTTAGCTCTTGGTGGGCTCATTTCTTAATTTTTATTATTCAGTTATTTAATTAATATGCCTATGTAAATTGTTGTAATTAGGTATCTCATCTTTTTTTATTTTGCTTCGTATATAAATTTTATCGTGTTGTGAGGAATAATTTATAATCATGTCAATGCATGAGTATTATGAAATAAATAAAATAAGATTTTTCCTTGATAATTTCCATCATTCAAGGATTACATATGAGTAAACCAAGAATAGTTTAGGGTAAATGTTAGGACAACCAATACAAAGCCAAGAACACACAATCAAGAAACCAAAAGAGTAGATCATGTACTGCACAACACATAAAGATTTACACATTTCGATGTATAGGTCTACATCTACAATGACGAATGGTGAAGAAATTTCTATTCAAATAAATTCGAAGATTATAAAATTTTAAGTTCGCAACCCTTTGTTTCTCTCACTATTTATTTCGGCTTTCAATGTCCTTTTGTACCCATCCCTCAACCCTAATGCCTTCGTATACTTAGATTACAACATAGACTAAATTCTGGGGCCACGACCCGTAAAACAGAACGGGTCAAATTTTTTAGTAGGTTGCAGGGTGATTCGGTCCCAAAAAAAAATTTCAGACCACGAATTCACACATAAATATTTGTGTTGTAGGGATAAAAAAAATGAAAAAAAAGAAAGATATGGAGTGAGTGGAAAGAACAAATATCATGCATTAATACAGTAGTGCCCAAAATGTCTGATCAAACCAAACACAGTTAGCAAATCAACTTTATGTTTTGGTCAATTGAGAAATGTCCCTAATGAAAGTACTAAGATTGACTTCAGAAGATCCTCCTTTTTCAATTGCTTGTCGAGAGATTCCCTGTAATTCTTGTGCCCTTTTAATCATTTTCCCTTCTCTGTGGGCTTTCTAAATCCATAAACCTCCTCACAAGGTCAACAATTTCCTCTCTCCCCACCAAAATTTCCATCCTCCTCTCCCTCTCCATGACCCTCCAGCCAATCCTCCAATCTTTAACTATCAACTTACTAATTGGGACTTGATCCATGAGCATAGGAAAAGTGAGCATTGGCAAGCCTGCAAAAACACTTTCTATGGTCAAATTCCATTCACTGTGACTCCAAAATCCCCTAACCGAAGAATGGCACAGCACCTTCAATTGGTTACACCAAGGCACCACTATTCCCGCGTCTCCACAAGCCTCCTTTAGCCTCAAAGCTTCCCTGCGCGCCACCAACAAGAATCGTACTCCATTAACGCGCAGCCTAGATGCAATTTCATCCATTTGGGCACTTCAAACATGAAGGTAACTCCCCATTGAAATGTACAAAACAGAGCCTTAAGGTTGAGAATCTAACCATATGTGGGAGTTAGTGTCATTTTGGTTAGTCATATTGTGATGCCCCAAATTCTAAGAACGGATGCATCAACTGAAATACCAAAACCCGACCCGATATCGAGTCCGAAATGCGGTTACCCAAATGTGAGGAAATTTGACTCTAAACAAGTCAAACAAAATGAACTCAATTCAATTTAATCAATTCATATCATTCCAAGAGGTTTTAAGTCCCTTAGTTGAGGTTTCTTGGAAGTAACCCGTCCCGGTCGAGCGATATCCCGACACTGTCCCACTAAAACAAGCATATATCTCAGTAGGATTGGAATCTAAATATGGGATTGATACAATTGGAAAGCTACTCAAAATCCTTAAATTTAGACTTAAGAATGACTTAATTTGGATCTGGAATGAGGGAGTTATGAATGTTGCAAGTTCGGGTGAAAAATATGTCGAGCACATGAATAGTAGCTGCACATTCTACTCAAACACTAAAAGTAAGCCCCCGGAAAGGTTTTTCAAGGTCTAAATTGAATATGCGGTGTTCAAATACACCCAAATGACCCTAGAATGTCCCAGGGTGGTAAGTTCAGTTGTAAAAAAAAAAAAAAAAAAATGTGGATGAATAGTAACCGTGACCAAAATTTCAAAAGAGAAAACCCAATTTTTGGTACATTGCACCCCTTGCCTAAAAATGACACCTAAGGCCTCTAAGGTCAATCCAAAAGGAAATGAAGCATAAAATGGTATAAAAACACTCCGAAGTGCATGAATTTCCACAATTAGATATTTAAATACAAAAAATACATTTACATACATTTAAAAGAAATGGCCCTTGGTATAATTTCAGCACAAGCTATGAGAGCCTTCTTCCTTCCAAAAACTCTTTTCATTGGTGTTTTTCCAGCATCCAGAAGTAGCTCAATCACATTTTACTCTAAGTCTAGTTTCTAAATAATTTTAGTTTGTCTCGTATCGATAAAAAATTGAATTTTCTTAAAGCTAAGCATTGTTATTCCATTTTCATTTTAACCTTATAAATTACGTCCAATGGTTTTGGGACACATGACATACCTTAGGCCAAATGAGGGCATATGTCCCTCAAATAATTTAAAAAAAAAATAAAATAAATTATGAGATTACATAATTAGGCCTTAAAATTAAAACGTAAGAGTATTTCTTAGTTGTATTATGTTATTTGTGCAGTGAATTCAAGTGGAAGAGTAATTGCACAGTGAAAATATGATAGGGACAAAATTCGAAACGTCTTTTGTTTGAAGAATATTTTTTCCAGTTATAGTTTCTCTGGCCATGATCATGATCTAGGATTCTACCTCTTCTCCCTCGTCTCCTAGAGAATGATTTACTTATATCTTTATAACATTTTAAAGGTTTCACTTAACATAACTGAAGTAATTAACCCTTTTTGGCATTCTTGCAGAAGATTCCACTTAACATCACATGGATAGAAGTATTGTCGTCTACATACTAACTCTATTCAATTTAACTCACTTGGTTTTTCAGGTATCATTTTTTTTCACTTTAGCAATCAAGTATATAAAGGTTACTGAAGTTTTCACTTCTTGCACCTATGCATTCTGGTGGTAGTAATTAGGCTGCAATTATTATAATGAGCACAAAGACATGGCATGTAATCTTAATCTTGATAGTAAAATAATCATACTTGTGATTAGAATGACACAGACACACATGCAAAAAAAATAAAAAAGTTCTAATTCCAATGTTATGAATTTATGGCTAAAGTGCAACTTGACCTTAATAAGTGAGGTTTGATAATGGTATATTTCTATTTGCAACCTTTACCTATTAGTAACTATGATAAATTATATTTTTTTATATACTTGTAATAGGCAAAACTGCAAGCGGAGAAATGGAGAACTACATCTATTAACAATTATGATAAGTTGCTAAAGTTGTTTGCAAAAGATAAAGTGACTGGTGATGAGGCTGCAACTACTAAGGAGAAACATTTTCAATGGGCTAACTCAACCAATGATGAGTTAATGGGAAGCATTGATGGTAATGATCAGCTATTAGCAGAAAATGAGGTAACTTTGGAGAATGCTGAGCATGTGGCTGATGAGAATGAAAGGACAATGTCCCCTAAGACACCTTCTAATGCATCTTTAAGTGCAAAAGGAAAGAGGAAACGGACTTCACTTGGTGTCTCTGATGATACCCAAGAAATAGCAAATACAATTTCCTCCGTTGCAAAATCTATTAAAGAGGGAAATGCTCTTTATGGAAAATATAATCATAAGGTGCACTCGGAGGAGGAAATCTATAATGAGTTAGTATCAATTTGACTCGAGCCATTTTTAATTGATGATGTTTACTTTTATCTCGCTAACCATCATGATCAAACG